GGCGGGGTGTGGCGTGGCGGGGCGGGAGGTCCGGCAGCGCAGTGTTTTTCCGCGATAAGACGATCGGGGCGCAGGCCTCGGCTCGCGTGCTCGCTTCGCACCCCGCTGGGCCGCAGGGCCCCGTCACCTGACGGCCACGGAGGTTGCAGCTGCCCGGCTCACACACACGGCGGTTTCGGCCACACTGAGCGCTTACTCGCTCTATGAACCGCAAGCCATAGAAAATCATGGAATGAATGTTTTCTTTTCTGCCAGTAAGCTTGGCCCCCACTGATGAGGACTGCCCTCGCCATCCCCTCGGCCCCTGCTCACCCCCGCGTCCTGCCGCCGCGGGTCGGCTCCTGGTCGCGCTTGCGGTAGGTGGTCCGCAGCACCCTCGGCTCGGGTCCAGAGGTCACCGGCGGCCGCTGCCGTCACCCAGCGCAAGCCGATCGAGGGCGCCGTCCCGCCGTCCCGTCCCGCCGGGCCGAGGGTGCGATGCATCGCCCTGGCTCTATCGCCTGCAGCGCGGCGCTGACGGCCTCGGCGGCCGCCTGGCCGGCGACACTCGGACAACAAACGCCCAGCGCGGCCCAGCCCAGGGTGGTGGGCGGCCGAATGAATAGGGAAAGGAGCGGAGCGGACGGGGTGCCTGTTTGTTTGCGGGGCTGACGCGCGGGAGGGAGCGGTCCAGTCAAGGCATGTGCAGCAAACACTGACCCCCGCGCGGGCAGGCGCAGACCGGCGAGAAGGGGGCGGGCCGGGGCGCCCTCCAGGTGGCCGCCACCCCTGGAGTCTGCCGTGAGGCGGCCTTCGAGGACTTCCCTCCAGGAGCGCAAGACGCGCAGTGTAGTACACACGTGCACGGCACCGTCCCCAGAAGAGGCGTCAATTCATCAACTGGATCACGCTCCTTATACATCCCGCTGACCAAACATAAAACGTAACAAGTCAGTCTAAAACAACGAGGTCTGAAGCGAATGACTAGAAATCGGAAGGCTGTTTGGTTTGCGTATCGCTGCTGGGTGCAGCCCAGTCACCCCATCCGGCCCCACCCTTTCCAGGGCACGACGGGCCGGCCCTCCCCGCCACGCCACGCTTCCACTCCGCACAGGGGAAAGGCGGTCGGTAACGCCACGGCACCTCACGTGGGGCGCAGCCGCGGGGCGCCGTTGGACAAACATCAACACCAACCCCGTGGGGCTGCAGTGCAACCTTCACCCACCGCGGGGTGCGCGGCGGCTGACCCCCGCGCCGACGCGGCGCCCCGGGTACGCGGCCCACCGCTCTGGCCGCGCCGGCGGAACTGGACCGGAGCCGTTGCAGAGGGGCTGCCATCTCGTCCCGGGATGACAACTGCTCTGAGACCCGAAGAAGAGCTCAGCTCGTTTACTTTGCACCTCTTGCTTCTGCAGCGCAGCTGTTGTTGTCGTCGTCGTCGTCGTCGTCGTCGTCGTCGTTGTCGCTGCTCGCTGTTACTGTTTCTCCTGCTTTGCTGATTTGCGGTGAGTTTTTCGTTGGCACCGATGCTGTTAATTACCTTCAAAAGAATTGTATTATTTTCCCTTTCTTGACTTGACGCCGCTGGCGGCGGCGGTCTTGATGGAAAACGTCGGAATGAGAGGCCGATGATGATAATGAGAGTGTCGGCTCCGCAGCGCCTCTCTGCTCGCTCTCTCGTTGTCACTCTCCCTCCCTCTCCCTCTGTCTGTCTGTCTGTCTGCTGGTGATGACGCGGCCCGCCCCGCCCCGCCCCGCCCCGCGCGGTAGTGCATTGCAGCACGTGGCGCACCTCGCCTCGCCTTTCCTTGGCCGGTCGGTGATTTCATTTTGATAACATCATCGCAAGACCATAGCGTAGAGTCCGTCCTGCTAACGCCTCAATCAATCGAGGGCAACGCGCTGTGGATTTTTTTTTTTTGTCCACTTTTGTTTATTGCGGCGGGCCGCAGTGTCCAGGCGCGCCGGGGCCTCGGGCGCCCCCGCTTCAACTTCAACTTCAATGAGGGTTAGGACGTCAGTTCACATGAACTTGAATCACCGGTAACTTCGGTGGGACGTCAGTCCGCGAACGGACCATCCCCTGCGCCCCAGCTAGTGCTGGACACGTCCGTGGTTTCGCGGTGGCCGAAGGTAAAAGCGAGTGTCTTGCGGGCCGGGGCGGGGGTGTAATCGGCTGCAGGGGAGGCTCACGCGCGCTGTACCCGCACGGGGTACCCGTAACGACCGGATTAAGATACATCCGCGCGCGGCTCAACAACACCGCACCGCGCCGCACCTCGACGCGGACGCGTTCCCTCTCCGCCGCCGCGGTGACCCGCATTTTCACTTGTTTCGGCCGCGGTGCGGTGTGGCCGCGCGGGGGTGCGCGCTGCCAGCCTGCCATGAATGGGGTTAGAGGCCGGCTGGGCTGCGCTAGCCTCGCGGCAGGGCGGCGCCGGGCGGCGCACTCCTAGAGGTTGCTTCATCCAGGAGAGGCAGCAGCAACAGGTTTTCAATGGCGCGGCGCGCGGGCCTCCACCCACCCACAATGCACCGCTGGATGTAGAGCACACCACTCCGCCCGCACTCGGTCAGGTGAGAAATTTATGCTAATCGTTTTGAAAGGCAGCTGAGCTGAGCCGTTTTGTGCTGCTCTATGAGATGTTGCTCTTACCTCGGAGGCCCTCTGCATGGCCTGGTGCATGGCTCCCGTTTCCACCTCGTAGCGGTTCTTGAGCTGGTCATACTCCTTGTACACGCGCTCCGATACTGCAACAAAAACGTTCGTAATAACGACGGTTAACCACTTTGTTTTTTTCTGTGAACGGCGAAAGTAACTCAGAAAAGAGACTCGATGGGGCTTGATGACACCATACAGAGGGTGGCCCTCCGATAGGGTATGGGCCATCAGTGATCTTTGGTCGCGAGGTGCGGGGGTTCCTTATTTCGCATTTCCGTCAACGGTAGAGCATTAATTTGAAAGGTCGTGAAAGTGCCTTTCAAATGCAGCACCGTTGGGTCACATCCGAGATAGGGAACCCCCCGCACCTCGCGACCAAAGCTCATTGATGGCTTACCCTCCGGGGCCGTTCTTACTTCTGGGTACAAACTGTACCGGATGCAAGCGTGCATGCGGGTTGCTTACCCGCAAGGGGCCGGGCGGAAAGGCGCGTCAGTAAGCGACGACAGTCATTAGGCAAGCTCGAAGTTGCCGGTGATTCAAGTCCATGTAACCCTCATTGAAGTTGAAGTCCGCACAACACGCCTGCATCCGCACTACAGTATGTACAACCCGCTAAGATTGGCAGGGTATTGGGTCCCTTGTATTGGTGCAACTGTACAATCAAGTTGATGGATAAACTACCCCTTCTAGTAGATCTACTAGAACTATTTTATATATATAGTATAAAT